AGAGAGAGAGAGAGAGAGAGAGATCTATACAGCGCTTTTTCTTTGACATTGTCAGCTTACTAATCTGCCAAATAGTCATTCAGAACATATGGAAGAAGGCCTACTACATATTGTACTATGATGTGCTCTGGGATAGAGAAGTGAGAAAGAGACACGTGACATCATGAAACACATAGGGCCTATGTGACTCAGGCTATGACCCACCGGAGGTGGCATGATAGATGTACACTCGCTGTCCTTAAAATACTTTTTTGTTTTTTAGAAATAGGATACTTGAATCACTTTTCTGTTCACAAATAAGAACATTTCCACTTATCAACAGTATATTTGGGGGTTCTTTTTCTTTACCATCACTTTTGGATTACTAGATCTATTGTTAAGTTTAACCGACTCCACGGTATTTATCAACAGTAGTATACTGACAAACACAGAATTCTGTTCCTTTCTTACACATGATACAGATTTATGATAATACAGTAGAACATGACTATAGCGGCACCCGTTATAGTGGGACCACATCCTTACAGCGGGACCTTACCAGAATCCTCCCTTTTTTTCCTACGTAAACTCAGTTACTTATGCTAGGCTATAGTGGGGCAAGGAAAGTCCCTAACTCAGATACAACGGGAGAGATCGAGCGAGCTCTAGCTGGGGGGAAAGGGGATGGGGGGCTGAAGGCAGGTTCCAAACAGGCAGTCAGCGGTGCAGCGTTGTGATTGGCCAGTCCAGTGATGAGTGCGGTGGGGCAAGTGGCAGAGAGAGATGGTAGAGAGACACGTTATGTGAACCACTCCAAAATTTAAAGTGATGTGCCATAGCCTAGACGCTCAGTACCGTATAAGAGCGTATAGACCATAGCCCTAGGCCAGGCCAAAAAGTAAAAGAAGAGGAGAGCGTGTATTGAGTGATTCCTGATTCATTGAATAGTGATCGTTGATGCTCATGCATACGCACGCATCCACTTCACCAGTTCTACAGTAGGCCTATCGGTACAATAGACAGCACAAGCAACAAAGCGAGGTAAAGATGGCTTCCAACAAAGACAAAAGGAAATGCTTCTCACTCGAATTGAAGGCCAAGAAAATCAACGACGTTGAAAAGAAAAGGGAGACTAATCTAAAGCGCAAATTTTATTGATATGGAAGGGAGGTAATTATGTGGATTTTAAGAAATTTTAGGGAATTCCCCTTTTTGCATTCCTATAGCGGGAACTTGCCTACAGCGAGATTTTTCTTTTGGAACCAAAAGTCTTGCTACAGCCGTGTTCTAAAGTATGCTTTGATAAACAGGACATGTTTTGACAACCTTTCATTTGTCAGTGAGCCCATTTACAAACTTTCTTTCAAAGGAATCTTTCACACAGCTGCAAATTCCATGTTATCAGGGCATTACATAATATTTTAAAGTGGCATCATACTACAAGAAGAAAAACCTTTGCACATGGTTTTTGGACAGCACAGTGTGAGAGCAAACCAGAGAATAACAGAAAGATCTACACCAGGAACAGATTTGAGGAACACTTTAATCTGAAAATGTCACTTACCACTAAATGATCAAACTCAAAATAGCAGTGATACAGGATCCAGTACCACAAAAAGAAGCTCATTGCTTCACCAACATAGTGAATGGCAGGCGGATCTTTGACCAGATGGGCTCGATACAGACTGTGGAAAATAAAACAAAACAAGGTGAGGTCTACATCATTACACACAGAAATTTTCATCAAGACATTATCACAGTGATGATAGTATAAATCACAGACATGTGGGAATCTGAAATCTTTTCATTAGGTATAAATTTTGCCATGTTGCACTTTAACTTTAAATACAAAGTATATAATTAAGAAAAAATTCAGGACTTGAAGAAATTTATTTCTTCGTGCATGTTTATACGGTACCTTGATCACTTTCCAAGCTTCATGTAGGTAGCGTAAACACGGCCTCGCAGGCACTCGCGGCCTTCCGACCGCGTGGTATCGGTGAAATCGGGGTAATTGCGATCGCTGTTTCTTTGCTTTTTCGCTATAAAACACCAAATGCCGTACACCTTGCAAAAGTTCAGCTTTTCCTCGTTACAATGGAGTAAGTTGTTTATATGTCCGATTATTAGGAGCTGGAGAATTGCCGACGAAAGCGTAGCCCCTCGCGGTCACGGAACGAGGGATGATTAAATATCTTCTTTTCATTGGCGGAGAACTGTAGAGCTTTAACTTTAAACGGGCTTTCCCGTGGTATATATTTGGCCTTTGGCGTCTAAATAGAAAGCTTTTAAAAATTCTGTCAAAATGTTTAAAGATCATTTTTTAAAACACAAAATATGTAAAATATCGGCTTAAAAAATGTATTAATTAAAAGATCAGTTCATTTTCTATTATTAAAATAAAGTAATCAGCTCGGAATTATTTTTCATCAATCCTTCTGCGAGAATCGGAAAACATGTGACCCCGCACGCAGGGTACACTACAGTATAGAGCTGACTCGCACACCGCGGTGGCCGGTGCGGCGCCGCCGGGTCAATGCTCGGTGTTTTTGTCGAAATAACGACAGATCATCATGTTTCAGGCGATAAAATACTGATTTGTAATGATCTCACAGTCTTGAAAAAAATTAGGCTCCATATATTTGTTATAGTGATTGTACTCAATCAATGTGGAGATGTTTAGTGCTTTTGGTACTCTTTTATTGTCTGTCAAACATGGGGTTGCACGCAGCCAGTGACTGACTTTAACAAATTTGATCAAATTTTAAACAACTACCATTTTCTTAAAAATTGACTGAGAGGTTAAAGAATGGTACCAAAACGCTCAGTGGATATAGGCCTTTCAAATGGAACAGATAAATTTGGCATACAGCTACTTTGAAAATTTAGTTTCTGGTACCTACTTCATGAAGCAAAGAAAAGTAATCATCACAATCCAGCCATTTTGTCATGGATGGCAATGGATTATTTGATGATTGTGGAAGCAACATTCAGCAGTCTGCAAGAACTGCTTTAAAAACAAAAGTGAAAGGGCAAACAAGGTTTGAAACAAAAGTAGTCAATCACCTCCTTTTTAGTAGAGAAATGTCTACAGACTGTAAAAGTTGTTCCCGCATCCGATCTGGACAATGGGGATTGCCTTGTTAGTAAGACAACTTCCTGGGTCTTTAGCATTATAATATTGAGGTAGGGTGGCCAGTTCCTTTCCACGCCGCCTTCGAACAGACTACGCAGATTAAATGCTAACTTTACTTAGGTTATTGTACACACACACAAGCCCTCCCCCACTCATTTTATGGTGAAGAAATCCTCCAGCAGACCTACAGTTCGCTGGTTATGACACTGGGAACTTTTTTCACAAGAGGTTGAGGAAACTGAAAACTGTTCCACTATAATTTTACCTCTATAAAACGGAAACCAGTCTACAGTGAAAAGAGAAAGAGAAATTCCTTCCCTTCAGAGGGTTTTTACCAGTCTCAGATGGAAAATGCTTTGCCCACTCAGCCCTGATTTGAAACAAAACTCAAGGTTGGTTCCATCAGCTCTTAACCTGCGTACGCTATGCTGTCAGGCGAGGAAGGGGTGCAATTAGGGGGTAGATGTTACCGTATCTATTTTCCTCAGACCCTCTTGTCAAAAAACTTCGCATTGCTATAACCAGTGAACTGTGGGTCTGCTGTGTATAATCTACCAGTGAGCCCTTAGCGGTGCAGATGGTCAGGATGCTGTGGGTGTGAAATATCACCAGCGTCTGTGTGAAAGTGCTGTCCGAGTGGAGCTCCAGTACAGACACTTTCATGAGTAGCCACAGACTAGATGTGTGAAATTAGTTTGACCAATAATGCCTGCCCCTCTGATAATATAAATAAGGCCAGCCGAGAAAAGAGTTCCTCGAATCCTTGTTACATGCACAGGAGGGGTGGCATCGGTTAACTGAGCTTGTGTTACACCAATGGGTGGGGCTATGGCTAAGGGTGGAAGCAAAGGAGATGTTCAAACGTTTGTTTTCAATAGATCAAACAGTGGTCTTATAAAATGCAAGCACTGGTGGCAACCGATAAGTAAGGATGGACAATGCCATTATCAAAACAGTTCTTGAGAGGTGTGAAGTTTTCACAACTGCTTGCCGACCAGACAAATGACACTTGATCATTGATCCCACCCACAGGGCATCTGAAAGGAAACCGGTCATTTCGTCACACAGTCATCTCGTCACACCACAATTATGTGTGACAAAATGACTTCGCAAAACTCTATCCAAAACTGCTAGGCTAGTAGAGTTTTGAAGGATCAGTGCCAGCAGTCTTTATCCTAAATCACCAATTGAAGCACATTTCGTTGGACCGTGTCTCTTGTTTTAAAGTAATTTTAGCCAAAAACTGCCCTCCCCCCCCCACCAATAAAAACAACTCAACAAAACTCACCAAGTTATGAATGGTGGAGCTGATCAGGTAGGCACAACGACTCACACCTCCCCCCCCCCCCCACCACCCTCCACTCCCGTAAAAATAGCAATTGCCATGACAATGCGCATGATGTTTGCAAGTGTGTGACGAAATGGGGTTCTCCATTCAACCTTGTGGATTTGGGGTGTGACGAGATGACTGTGACGTCTTGACAACACCAGTGTGACGAAATGACTGTGTGAAGAAATGACTGGTACTCATCTGAAACCCCCTTCCATCTCCCCCTAAATTCCCCTTCTTTGTAAAATGGAAAATGTCTAGGAGGAATATTTTCTGGCTCCCTGGTGATTTCGTCTTACACAGGTTCTACTATAAGTAAATTTCTACTAAACTAAGTTAGTTTCCTTAAGTTTAGGCACAGGCTACACTGCACTCGAGAGGACTTCCGTAACATTAACTCTTGTCCTGCGTCTGTGCTGAGATGCGAATCTTATCAGCAACCGATTACGTCGGACATTCTGGGCAGGCCGCTGGGGTCACTCAGTGTGTACTCCGCTGGTGTACAGCGCGCACGCCAGGAAACGTGTGTTTTCGCCATAAATACAGTGGGAGTGTGTTAATCGATGAAGAAAATAATGCTCTATCTTTTACAAACACATGAATAACCCCCTCTCACAAGCTGATAAGACATTACGAGAAGTTACGCCCATTCGAATTACCTTTCTGGACGCTCTTGTTGTTATGAATGACCTGAGGTTCTAAAGGGGATAATATAGGTCAATTTCCGAATGTTTTGCACTCAACTTGTTCTTTGTACCTGCACAATGGTATTCAATACTATCAAACAAGCTTATTTTTTATCAGGTAGTATCATTTCATACAAAATCAAGCTCATTTGAAAGATTTAGTATAGAAAAATGGAGTGTCTACGTACACGGTAACCGGGCACGTAGTCTCAGTATCTACACACGGTAACTGGGCACCTCTAGAGTCTCACCTAGTCTCAGTGTCTACGTACACGATAACCGGAATGAAAATAAATCAATATTTGTCCTGTGCTGTCACTTGCTGAAAAAAGGAAAGTCATACAAGCATCTTGTCGGGCTCGCCATCGTGACCAGTCAGTGAACCTGTGCGTGTGCATCATATTCACAAGTGAGTACCTGTTGGGGTCACAAAAGTTCATTCCAAGTCTGTGCGCTGCGAAGTATAGGGCTCCGGAATGGTAGGGATAATCGATTTTTTTTAAGGTACAGTCGGGGGAGGGGTGGGGATGAAGGCAACATCAGATGACAAAAACTGAACTTGGGAGCTCTGAACTTCCCGGTTACGTGACGATGAGACTACCGGTACATGCCTGGTTGCAGGTAACCGTGTAGATATTAAGGCTACATGCCCGGTTACCGTGTACATGACACTAAGACTACGTGCCCGGTGGCCAGTTACCGTGTACGTAGACACTGAGGCTAGGTGCCCGGTTACCGTGTACGTGTAGACGCTCCGATAGAAAAATAGAAGTCTTGTTTCCTGTCCTTTCGAGCTCCTCATATGTCTAAGTGGGTCAATTTCTTCTATAATTTAATTGGACGAACATCTAGAGCTACCAACTAGGCGTGTTTTGAATGAGACGTATGCCTCGATTACGAACCAAAGCAGGTGGTTCTAGAAGAAGGCCACAAACGCACACAAACTGAAGCAGACCGGCGCACACACACTTGACCTGCGTGAATGGGGATCCGACTCGTTACCCGAATTTCACGTAAGATGATGCGTGGTGTGCGTGCGCTGAGCCACGGGCTACACTGATTCGGGACCAGAACGTAGGCGAGGTGCCGAAATAGATCTAGATCTAGATCTAGATCTAGGTTTATTGGGCGACAAACCCGTCCCCCGCAGGGCAGGACGAGGGTTAGAAAGGGTAATGTTGTCATGTCATGTAACGGGTAGAGACGTTGAGTCTACTCAACTGTTACTGTCTGTGACAGTCGGTGTCACTGAGTTTGTCTCTTTGTCGGTCTGGTGTCACTCACTCTTCAGTTTCTCTACCCTCAACCTCAAACTCAAGTTAGACTGAGGAAGACACACATATTCAAATGGGTTTCAGTTTCCACCATATCCATACACAAAGACCTCACTTACGTTGCAGCGTTCCTCCGGGTTGAGCTCAGAACAGGTAGCTGCCCTCTATTCCGCAGAAGAGCGGCTAGGGGACGTAGCTTACCAAGCACAACTGACATTTTAGCTGTACAAGTCTTGGTACAAGCTTGTTGTGATGCGAAAGTAGATCTAAAGCAGTGAAGGTCGATCGACGGATTCGCTCACCAGGAAAATTAGGCATCTCTATGCTTGAATTGACCATGGCGATTCCAATTTACAATATTTTCTTACATTTCACATTGCACCTTGCTATAAAGAATTTTAACATATCTTATTACGTTTTAATTACATTTTGCATTTATCATAAACAGTTTTATAAAAAAACAATTGTATTTTGTCCAGCACATTTTCATTAGTAAAATTCTAGTAGATCCTATTTGGTATTTAGAATTTGCCCTGCTCCTTTATATTCTTCATACACACATGAGCTCCTGCGGAAAAAAAATACATCGCAATAAAATTGATATTAGGCTTAGAGTTGGTTTTTTTTTTTTTATTATCATTTTTACCATCAATGATTGGAAAAGCCTTTTGGGGAGAGGGGGGAGAGGGCACAAGCAAATGTATTTTCTTCTTCAGAGACTTTAGAAATGTTTGGCTATGCTTTTGGAGATGATGGGAAAGAGAAAGACGACTGAGTATAGACAGCAAGATAAGTAGGGGCGAAATCATGTGCGAACAAGGAGTTTAGAACTAATGGAGCCTCCTCTCTCTCTTCGCGGCGCCACGAGCAGTACGCCGCGGTGGGGATCAAATATGGCGACCGACTGTGGGCTAAATCACAAACTGTGGTGTTTCTTTTTATAGAATCTTATCGGGCTGGGCCACGTTGTGGGAGTGGGCGGGGTGGGGGAATGCACGCAAGGAAGA